GATAGAATATAGTGTTGTGGAGATTAACTGAAGCCCTCATAAACATCACAAACCATGTGATGGCTCTCAATAGGGATGCGATGAACAGCGCGGCCATCAGTGAGGAGTAGATAATCACATCTCTGTTCTGATCAGAAGTGTTAATATTAGCCGTGTTTTGATTTTTGTTAGTCCTGTATTTATAAAAATAATGATAAAGTTAATAATATAGATGACATGGTCATTGATTTCAATTTATTCACCATTGTGTTAGAAAATAGTCAGATCCGTGATAAATAGTTTGGGCGATTATTGTAAATAAAAGTGTGGTAAAAAATAGTAAAGGACCTGCGCCTGCCTTAATAAACGTCCAATATACTTTGCCAGATATTGAACCCGTTTCACGTTTCTCGTCAGTTATTCTGGGATCAGTGTTATTTGCGTCACCCTTAACAGAAATTTTAAATAAATTAAAATAGAATTAATTATTATAAATATTAATTACATTTATTTCCATTAAACTTTCTGCTACTGAATTTTTCCGGGATTTTACTTTATATTTATAACTGTTTTGAGAAAACGTACGCTTTAGTTCCCTGTGCTGTTCCACTACCTTATCGTCCGCTTCCCTCTCCTGATCGCTGAGAATAGACATGAAGTCTAAGCCCCGGGACTGGAGCTCATCATAGGATCCCAATCCCAGACACTTTCCCTCGTCGTTCAAAACCAATATTTGTGTCGCTTTTCGTATGAATTGGATTTGATGTGTGACTAGAATACGGATTTTGTCGCACAAGTAGTCGACTATACATCTAATGTTCATTATATCGCAAATACATTATATGTTAGACTTATTTGTAATCATAATTATAACAATCATTGCATTACTTATCAAATATATGTTCGGCAACACTAGTGTCGACAGCACTCAACGGGTCGTCCATTAATACGATGTCTGAGTTTCGGTACAGAGCTCTATACAAATAAATAAATTATATTATAGTAATTATTAAATATTTTAAAAATACATTTATAATAATAAACTGTTTTATTTAATTATATTATATTAGAATGCACACAAACCTGGCTAACGTGATGCGGGCCTTCTGTCCGCCCGATAGCTGTACTCCTCTCTCACCGACTAATGTCTTGTCTCCGAACGGCAATATCTCGAAGTCTCGCTCCAAAGCGGACACCTCTACCACTCGTTGATATCGGGATTCGTTATATTCGGCTCCAAAAAGTATATTATTTCGGACACTAGTATTGAAACTCCAGGACTCCTGAGAGGCATAGCTTATCGATCCCACAGTTTCTATACTCCCCGACAGAAGCGGCAGCTCTTTTAGGATTGTCATCAATAGTGAGCTCTAAATAGTCTTAAATTAATTATTTTTGAAAATATAGTCTAACTTTTTATTCAATAGTTTGCATACCTTTCCCGCCCCTACCGGTCCAATTACAGTTAATAAATCTCCGGCTATTAAATGTGCCGAAATATTTTGTAGGGTTGGAAACGAGCTCTCCTATTGATAATTTATAAATTATATTCAATAAAATTAAATATACCATATAAACTATTATTTATAAACTAAACTATTATAAACTATTATTTCATACATCACTCCATTTGGCTGTTATGTCATTAATGGACACTTCGGGCGATTGTTTGCTATCTGTTTCATATTTACATAATTTATTTTGATTTTGAATGGATTTTTTTTGTAGTTCTTTTAATTGTAAAAATTCCTAAATGAATATTAATTAGATATTATAATTGTTTAAACTTTCACATCATGGTCAATATTACTTGTATTCTATTACAAGAAACTAATAACTCCACGCCAAAAGTGATTGCCTGTGGGAAGTACCAGGTCATATTGACTCTTACGGAAACAAATAGCATCATTGACACAAATACAGCCTTAGCGGTCAGTACATCACCGGTGAGTACCAAGGTGATAAAGCTGGGAAATAAGATCAACTTTGTTGCCATACAATATAACGACAAATTGATTGCCTTTAAAAAGCAAGATCTTTGTATACACGACACTTCCTGTCTATTTATATTGAAAATTATAATATGGCATGCATTGACTAATTCTATCAATTATGATTAAAACATTGATGTCATTTACTTTCGTGCCTCAGCCACGAGGTCTGCGAAGGGCTGTTCCCAGGAATACATTTTAATGACTCGCATTCCGGATATGATCTCAACCATATATTGCAGCCTTTTGTCAGTCAGCTTAGCAATCATTAATCTGAGTAATTATAATAATAACATTGATATACCTGTATATTTTATTAAAATCTAATATTACCATTTACTTACCTAACTTTTGAAAACATTTTACCCATGTAGAATTGAACTACAATTAGTAAAACTATAAAAGCAACTGGCACCAAACTTGCCCATCCCATGTATGTGTACATTATATATATAATAATGACTGTCTGAATGGGCGATATTATAAAATAACTAGCAAACAGTGGAAACTAATATAAAATGATTATTAAATAAGTGAATTCATTGATAAAGTTATATAAATTTTACATGCTCAAACCGATTTGCATCGTTTGTCATTAAGTTTATGATCTGACCCAATGTTGTTTTTCCCATTGATAACTGGTTTAGCTTGAGTGACTATTGTTTACATTATATAATTGAATTGAGTATATTATGAGCATAAAAATCTTATTCTTAAATATAACTAACCTTTTTATACATTAGTGTACAGCATGCGGTACGGGCCCGCATTCCCAGTTGCTTAAAACGTGCTGAAATAGTACTTTCAAATACAATTAATAATATAGTGCACAGACACACACCACCAGCCGCCATACAAGCATGGTCATATGTTATTATGTCAGCGCCAGCAAAATAATCAATCACATATCCAAGTAGTATAGGCTGTGCCAAACGGACCGCACACTCCTATAATAAATAAGTATTAGTTTAAATATTAAATATGTTTTTAAATTTTACATTGTTTTTTATCTAAATGTTTAATCTATTTTATCAGACGCTTGCACATACAATAAACACTAGTTTAGTGCATATAAATAACAAATTGTGTAGTTAAAATAATAATAAATTCAATCAAGCATATAATATATTACTTGACATGTATTACATGGTGTTTACATTAATTATAATAATACATATTATGATAATTTTATATATAACTCACGATAAATAAAATCAATATGAATGGAGTAATGTGGTATTTGGCAAACGTCTTTAATAAAGCAATGTACAATCTAGGGTTTGTTTTCATTAATTCAATATCCCAATTTCTAAATATTTATATAATACAATTTTATTCAAAATAAAGTAATCATATTTATGATTATTGGCTTAATGTTTATATAGCAGGACTTTATAGTAAGGTTATGTTTGACCAGGTCTAGAATTTTTTTGTTATGAGCCAGGTCAGCGGTTCAAACTCTCATCAATACATGTGTTTAATGTGTTTACATTTATGTAAAAAAAATATTAAATTTATTCCATGAAATGTTGATTTTACCCGAAGACACGATACCGAACACATTTGAAAATGTAAACTATTTTTAATTTTACTCATGAGGATTAGCAAATTTTCTCACAAAAACAATGTATCAGTTTTAGGTGGTGTATTATTTACCAATCAATATTATAAATTGTTTAATAAGTTAATACCTTATGGTTATGTCCACTAAAACCGCACCCGAACGGGCCGACCCCGGAAAGTGGAAAATCATGTGCCAAATTATCGGGATGTGTCCAATCCATGACATCCATATATTAAATGATTGGTTATTATGTGCTTTCACTGACTAACAATATATGACTATTTAAAAGCGATTACTGAGGTGTCCGGAGCCGATAATTAAACATATGCTCAAAATATGGCTATTTTTGGCCTATTTTTAGACCACATTTTTCGAAAATCGCCCGAAAAAAATTAGAGGACTTTGAGTGACAAATCTCTCTACACCCACCATATACTCCAGTTATCCCACTATCACATGACTGTTAATACCATTCTCTCGTGTCATGTTTTAGGGGTGAAACATGATAAACAAAAGTAGTGGTCGAAACAGACACCACTTACTTCTTTGACTCTCAGGGCAGCCATTTTTATCGGGAATTAGATAAAAATTTGTCCGAATAATGACCAATAGTTGCCGATAATTATAGCTATTTTATAATTTGAATTAACTTTTTTAATAACAATAAAAATGAATTTTTTATTTTCTATTGAATCAGTCCTGTTACTTTTCCATTAAGCCAATATAATTTGCACAACTGGCTACATCTGGTTAAGTTTATATAGATGATATTATTATTAAATACTAATATGTAAGTTATAAAAAGTTATAAATATTAATAACACTAACCTCTTTTTTGTAATTTCATAATTGATAATATCAACATGGTAACTATGTCTATGTAATATTTTATTACTTTTGGTTTTACTGTAAATAGCACTGTATCTGTTAATAAGCACTTAAATGTATTGTGTTTTAAAATATGTTATGAATGCAATCAATACATTTTGTAAAATTATTAAAACAATTTTATTTGTATTTTTAAAATCAATAATCATTTGCCAATTCTCATATGAATTCTAACAAATGATACAGAATTAAGTATCATAATGTATTTCTATGAGAGACTTGTTCTATGTCGATTTATAAATGTTTTAGTTGAAAAATCAAAAATTTAAAAAATTACTTTTTGCAGTATCTAGTTATGAACAATTTGATGCACTAATCATTAAAATTGAACATGTAGATTTTAAATGGCAAGCAATTGCGCCCGATATGCCATTGAAATACATTATGTCACTTAATTCTGTATCATTTGTTTGAATTCATATGTAAGTAGATATTTTATATTTTTAATTATTTAATTATTAAGAAAGGCAAAGGATATACGGGATGTGATTAACAGCACACATAGTGGTGAAGGTATGGCAACCGAACAACAAGTGTCTCTCCAGTCAAACGGTTCCGACGGTGATAACAGCTCTGAGACACCGATAGACTTACACGAAGAGTCTGTCCGTGAGTTTCGCCAATTGGTGGCCGATATCGGGCGCCGACTCACAGACTGTCAGACAATTGCGACTAAAAAGCGTATACTTAATGCAAAACTCGGGGAATGCAACCAAATTGTGGCCACAGATGGACACCGAGTAGAGGAACAAAAGTTAGAGTATTTTAAAATGATCGATACGTTTAGGTTGAGGGATAAACTTATAATCCAATAATATTCTCATTCATGTCCTTTAATTATTTTAAATTGTTAACAATTTTAATACTTATTTTACATTTAAATCTCAAATTCAAATAGACGAAAATGTTATAGAAAATTTAATTATAATATCAAACAATATAAAACAATTATAAGGAATAACTAAATATTTATTTAAAGCTACTTTATTTATTTTCTATATTAATTGGTAATTTTGTTTATTAAATTGAGATAGAGAGAGAGAGAGAGAGAGAGAGAGAGAGA